TCACCATAACTCTTGGTTCCACAAATCCTTCCCCCACCAAAACAAAACAAAACAAAACAAAACAAAAACAAAACCAACCTGTGTTCAGATTGTAACAGACAGATACAAAGGACTATGGGAATAAGAAGTTACTCTTTGAGATGCTTCAGAGAGGTTGGAGGATACATTGTCTATGAGCTTCACTCTAGCCTACTCTAGTCCGCTTGCCATTTATAATTATTACATTCAAGTGCCAATGGATATACTCAAACAAGTTGTAGAATTAGAAGAAATCGCAGTAGCCCTTTAGTCCAATCCATATGTGACAGAACCTCCTCTGACATATCTGACAGGTGGTCATCAAACCTTTTTGAGCTTGAAGCCTCCAATGCACACTCACTTTTAGGAAATTCTTCTAGGAAGTCTTTCCTGATCTGTGCCCCCCCACCCCCTTTTTGTAGCTTCCATTCTTTGCTTCTGAATCTGACTCTGGCTAAACAGGACAAATTGAATCCATCTTCTACACAATAACCTTTCAAATACTGGAAGGCGGCCATATTAGAGGAGGATCCATAGACTTACAGATGGAAGGGACCTCAAAGGACTTCTAGTTCGACCCCCTCATTTTATAATTGAAGAAACTGAGGCCCCAGGGTAATGTGACTTACCCAAAGTGTCAAAGGTAAGAATGGTCTCAGATCATCTGACTCCAAGGCCAGTGCTCTTTCCTCTTTCTCTCTTTCTCCTCCAGAGTCTTCTCCAGTCTAACCATGCCCAATTCTTTCAAATGATCTTCATATGACATGGATGCCAGACCCTTCACTATCCTGGTTGCTCTCCTATGGACACTCTCTAGCTCTTAAAATATCCTTCCTAAACTGTGGTTCCTGGACCTGGATACAATCAATATGGTCTTACTGACCAAAGTACAAAGGAACTATCACTTCTTTATTACTAAAAGCTATGCCTCTCGCTGCTGCTCAGGATCAAATTAGCTTATGCCCTGTCATACTGCTGACTCATAATAAGCTTTGTTGTCATTGTTGTTCGGTTGTTTTCAGTTGTGCCTGACTCTTTGTGACCCCATTTGGAGTTTTCTTGGCAAAGATACTGGAGTGGTTTTGCCATTTCCTTCTCCTCATTTTACAGATGAGGAAACTGAGGCAAATAGAGTTAAGTGACCTGCCCAGAGTCACACAGCTTGTGTCTCAGGTTGGATATGAATTCAGGTCTTCCTGAGTCGAGGTCAGGCACTCTATCCACTGTACCACTTGGCTGCCCTAATAATAAATTTGCAGTCCACTAAAATTCTAACTCTTTTTCAGACAAACTGCTATTTGATTATGCCTCCCCAATCTTGTACTTTTGAAGGTGATGTTTTTGAATCCAAGTGTTGAGACTTTACAGTGTCTGGCTCATGCAAACATTTAAATGTTTATTGTGTCAGTGACATTTATCATGCCCACTGAATTTCATCTTACTGTCATCGAGTCTGGTAGTCCCTTCCCTAAAAATGGATTTGTACGCAGATCAGTTCTCCCTAGTAGTCTCAGAACTGAGATCTCTAGCCAAACTCTGGCTTCAACCTTCAGGAGCAGTGGCCAGGCTTCCACTGGCCTTGGCCTTCTATGTAATGCTCTGCTTCTGAGATCCTCATACTAACTCACTCCTGCTATAGTTCATGGGGAGGGCACAGAGCCAACCTCTTCATGGTCTCCTAATCAACACTACTCTGCAGAAACCAAAACCAGAGAGTGGGAGGGGCCAATGGTGTAACTACATTGACAATCTAGAGGGGTAGAGACCCTAGGTTACAGTAGCAGCTTTGCCACTTATTAGCTGTGTGGCCCTAAAGCAAGTTGCTTCCCCTCACTGTGACTCAGCTTCCTAATCTACAAAATGAGGGAATAACATAGATCAGGCATTAAGCTATTTTTGGTGTGTGTTATGGATCTCTGTGGCAATCTGGTGAAGCCAATGGCCCCCTAATTATTGTTGCCTATATTCATAATTGAAGGAATGCTAAATCTCATGTAGAGGTTAATGAAAAATAAAGATGTAATTTTTTTCCTATCTAATTTCATTGACCCTCCCCCGCTTGAAAGCCATAGTTCCCTTGGTTAAAACCCCCTGTAATATCCTAGGATAGATCAATTCTAAGGTGCCTCCTTGCTCTCTTTTAAAGAAGAATTAAGGTGAAGGAAGACACCCCAGAGCCTGGGTTACCCATGCCTTACATCAACTACGAGAGCTCAAAATTTGACCTCTTTGTTGTTGAGTTGTTTCAGTCATGCCCTACTCTTTATGACTCCTTTTAGGGTTTTCTTGGCAAAGATACTGGAGTGGTTTGCCATTTCCTTCTCCAGTTCATTTTATAGATGAGGGATGGAGGCAAACGAGGTTAAGTGACTTGCCCAGGGTCACACAGCTAGTAAATATCTGAGGTCACATTTGAATTCTTGAAGATGAGCTTTCCTGATTTTAATCCCAGTGCTCTATCTATTGTGCCACCTACTGCCTCTACTTCCCCTTTTAGTTTAAAATTTTTTTTTGAGGACCTGGAGATCCTGGAGGTGGCTACAGACCAAGGATTTTTCTCCCTTTCACTTCTTCCAGAAAAGGAACTTGTGTTAACCTTCCTTAAATCACACTCCTTCATCCCAAGAGTCCTTTCCTAAGGGAAGAAGGAATAAATTAATTATTGACCTTCCCAGGGATATTCTCTTAACCAATGTTTCTAGCAAAGTGTCCCTAGACTTCATCAAGGGGCTCAGAAGCCTGGATTTGTGGAAGACTTTGATGGAAAAGTAACAAGGCTTGCCAAGCTAACCATGGAATCTTTGATTCCCAAGAAAATTCACCTGTTTTCTACACCACACTCTGCTCAACTTTGGAGAGAACCAGGAACATATTCCAAGGTCTGAAGATTCCTGTTTCTTCTTGGTGTCTGTTTTGTGTGTGTGTGTGTGTGTGGAGGACTGGGGGATGAGTGATCATGTGGTCATGACTGGCTGGAAAAAGAAAGATCGAAAATGCCTACACTGAAGTCTTTCATCCCTTTTGAGTCAAGTAGCAGCAACTCCGGGATTCCCCAGCTCAGCTCAATCTCCAGGGGTACCTGCTCCCTGTCTGCCCCTGGCGGCACGAACAAAGACGGGAAATTTCAAAGGTGATTTCCAGGTTTCCAGAGAAAACTGAACTGCTGAAGATAAACTGTCAGTGAGTTCACCTGTCAGAAGGCAGAGGCAGCCCTGAGGGAGGGTAAAGGCTAGCTCCCTCGAGTGATGGATCTTCTCAATTCTTTTATCTGAAATCTTAAGGAAAACTGATGCGCTGGACATTGAGGGGACTTGGCCAGAATGGTCTATGGTGGAGCCAGGAACAGAAACCAGACCTCTCCAACCAAAGAACCTGGGTACTACAGGCATCCTTGCCATAGTATCCTTCCACCTATCACATGGCAAAGAGAAAGGATGATGTGTCATTTGTACAGCACGCCGTAGAGTGCCACAGGCATCAGAGCACTTAATAATTAATGCCACTTGGATGCCGAGCATGCTGGGGTGCTAGAGGGGAAGAGGTTGTATACAACTAAGATGAGGAGGCTTTGGACTCCACTGCAGGTCTAAAGTCCTCACTAAATGCACCAAAGCAAGGTCTTTATTCTCTTTGGAGTGGCTCTGCAAGCCCAGTCCTATTGGAGGTTAAGGAAAGCCAAAGAGTGTCTGATTCAGGAGTTCCCAAGCTATTATTTGCCCTTCCACAAACTTGGTACAGTAGATGACAAAAGAGGTAGCTGTGTCACCAGGGAAAATGAGGTACCAGTGGCTAAGTGATGAAGGTGCCTGGCAGTACAGACTCATTTGTGGGACTCATATTATCACTCCCCACTTTTTATGCCTTTCAGATACCCTACCTGAAACCCAGAAACTGGTATAGAAGACACCCCTTGGAAGAAGCAATCCAAAAGTAGTACTTGGGCCTAGCAGAAAAAGAGTGATAAAGGTAGAATAAATACCCCTCAACTTCTCAGTCACTGCACCACTGGTTACTTAGGAATACAGGTCACCAGTAGATAGCTCCACAGCTCTAATGGTGGAGGGAGGCACAGAACTCAAGATCTTCAGGGTCTCTACTGGGGACTAGGACCCATGAAACATGGAAAAGTCAATTTGGGAAAGGGCAAAAGCTGTGTTCTAGACTGAGGGAAGGATGAGTCATCATGGACATCATGGACAAAGAGACCCTGAAAACCAGGTGCACTTAATAAAGTACCCTACTTAAAATGGAGTCATCCTATCACCCTTGTGAGTGCAGTGTCCCATGCCAGCTCTGCTCTTCTGGCTCATTCTGTACACATATATCCCTAACCCATGAAGGCAATTAGGAGATTAGACCAAGGTGAAATAGAGGGAGTCAGGGGTAAGATTCAAACCCAGGTTTCTCATGACTTCAAGTTCAGTGACCTATCTACTACACCATGCCAATAACTAGCTGTGTAACTTTGGACTCAACCTCTCTGGGCCTCAGTTTCCCCATCTATAAAATGAGGTTGGACTAAATGTTTTCAAGATCTTTTCCAGTTCTAATGACCCCCCAAAAATCTACAAATATAATGATTTCTAGCTTCTTGTCATAATATTGTCATTGACCCTGGGCAAATCTCTTTCTCAGTTTTGGATTCAGTTTCTTTATCTGATGGTAGGAATGACACTCTCTAGCACCCTGGGTCCATCAGATCATGCAAGGAGATTGACAAAGATGCTTCCTGGAGGAAAGACGCATTTGAATTCTAATCCGAGGAGAAAGAATTTAGCAGAGGAGGAATCTGGAGAAAGGGGTGGGTGGGGCATGGGCAGGGCAGTAGTGACTTAGAAAGGAGTTAACCGAGTTTCCAGTTCATCCCCACTGCCTACCGACCTTTCACCTCTTCCCCTTCCACTGAAATTCTAAGGAAGGACTTTGTAGAATAAAGAGCTTTTCTGAATCACCTGAAGCTTAAATAAGACTTTAATGTGCAAACAGAAAGGATTAAAAACTGGGATGGATAGGAATAGGGGCCTGGGAGCAGCTGAGAGAGGTCAACATGTGGGCAAACAGAAGACTCAGTTATAATAAGAGAAGTTGGGCCAGAGGAGAGGCAGAGTTCCATGATGCATGTCAGGGACTGAAGTATGGTTATCAGCTGAAGCTGCAGAGGCTCATTCCACAGGGCTGGGATTGAGGTGCTGTTCTGGCCCCTGACTTCTCCCCTGCCTCCTTCATTTCCCTGAGTCAATGCCTCTGTTAGTCTTCCAGCCTGTGCCAAAAAGCTCTGTCCCAGCTCCACTTTGGGTCTTTTTTCAGGGGTTGTAGTACTGGTCCTGTGAAGAGGGTTAAAAAAAAAATGCACATTCTGTGATCACCTGGAGAGTCAAGTAGGAGCTAACATGAACTCTTCCTAGCCTATTTTGTCCAGACATCTGCAGTCCCTGGGCCTGGGTGGGGGAAGTGCCTAAGTGCAACTTTGACAGGAAGATGGCTCCAGATTTTTCCAAATCTGGCTTTCCCACCAGGGACAGGTCATTATAGGAAGACAAGGTATAAACCATCTTTTCTTTCCTCTCCCAGCAAATACCCTCATCTCTTCCATGGGAGATTAGCTTTGCATAGTTTCTCCAGCAGAATAAAGGGCTGAGGAGGATTTCTTTCCACCTTCTTCACAGAAGGTCAGATGGACCCTACTGACATCTCCTGATATGCCCCCACCAGACAAAGATTAAAAAAAAAAGGGGAAGGAGAAGAAAGTTGGAGACAGTAAATAAAGAGGAATAGGACAAAGAGAAAAAAAGAATGAATGAAGAAATGGTCTGTCCCTCAGTTCTCAAGTAAGGGCTAAAGGCTCTGGTAGAGATTTCCTTGTCCTTCATAGGAAGAGCTCAGTGGTTTTTTCCCTGTAAGCCAAGGAACAGAAACCTAGGAGACACTAAGTGGTGAGGAGAGCAGGCTTCAGTAGGACACAGTAAAGGGAGAAAAAAAGAAGATTTAGGAACCCCTTGTGAGAACTGGGAGTGGGTCTAAAAGGAGTTGTCCTCTCCCCTGGCACCATGAGGATGCCAGATCCAAGTCAGAAAAAAAAAATGGCATTTAGGGAAAAGTCTGGACAGCTAAGTTCTGTCCTGGCATCACTCATGTCAAAATGCTATTTTTCTGGGTCAGACTTTCTCCCTCTCCAGCAGTTTCCCTTTCTAAGAAATCAGGAAAAGAATATTCAATAACCCACACCAAAACTGGATGGTCAACACATTTTAAAAATAATGATAGTAAGAGTGCCAGTCACTTTTTCCTGTCCACTGCCCTCCTAGCTCCAGCAGCGGCAGTTAGGGTGGAGCAAGTTGTAGGCTCTGGTCAGCCCAGCCCCTCCCCTACTCTCCACCCAGGCTTAGGGCTAAGAGTTACAGAGGGGTGTTACCGGGGGCCTGCACTGGGTCAGGAGCTCCTGCCAACGGATGTACATCTGGGCTGCCAGGTCCTTGAGTTTGGTCCGATACATGGCCTGAGGGCTCTCATGGATGTGTGTGGTGACCTGCCACTCCAACTGCACACACAGCTGTTGCAGCTCACCCTTTGAAGAGAAAAGAAATGAGGGAGAGGGAGGGCATGGGGAGAGGGGATGTGAGAGACCCAGAAGACCTAAAGTGGACAGAGGCAGTTAGAATGTGGTCAGGTAGACTGAGAGAAATGAACCCTCAGTCCTTTCTAATCAATCTTTGGAAGCCTTCAGGAATGGGGCATGGCTGGCAAGGGACAGCTGTACAACAATTATCATTTGTCCAGAACAGAGAGGGGAAGCAGGAGGGGAAAAAGGATTAGGAATGGAATGTGGACCTAAGTCAAATCACACAGCAGAAGAGCAAGATTTAGAGCTGGAAGGGAACTTGAAGGTCACTGTTTCCAACCCTGTCGTTTTACTTGTGAGGAAACTGAGGAACAGAGAGGTAAAATAAGACTAGCTAACATTTAAATGGGGCTTTAGGGCATGTTTTACATGTGTAATCTCATTAGATCTTCACAAAATCCTGGGTGGTAGGTGCTATTATTTCTGTTCTACAGATAAGGAACTGAGGCTTAGAGGACTTAAGTGACTTGCTGAGGGTCAAAGACTAGTAATTGTCTGAGGCTGGATCTGAACTCAGGTCTTCATGACTCCAAATCCAGCATTCTTTTACCTTCATGGCCACAGGCTTTGCTCTATTCTTGTTAGGAAAATTTCCTGTAATGAATTATAAGGAACCAAAGGACTCAGGTTCTCAGCAGCTGTGTCCTTGACTCAGTCACACACTTTTCGTAGTTCCCTTACATTGAGCTCCTGTCTAACGGCTAAGTCGCCCCAGCTCTTCCAAACAGGTAAAGATAAGAATTCAGGAGCTCCCCTCCATCTTCATGCCTCTCCACTCACCCACTTGTCTCTAGTGATGCTCTGGCTGCCAACGACCACCCCAGCCAGCTTCAGGAGGCTATGGCACAGATAGCAGACCTGTTAAGGAAGCACTGAATTAGAGGGGCCAATCAATGGGGACTTAATCTCCCCTCTCACAGTTTTTTCAATTTCTAAGATTCTCTCTTTTTACTTTCTCTTTTTTAATTCAATTTTTCTTTATTTTCAGTTCTGAATTCTCTCCCTCCCACCTTATCCTCCTCTATCCATTGAGAAAGAAAGAACAAAACAAAACTCATTACAAATATAGTCCAGCAAAACAAATTCCCAGATTAGTCATATCCAAATACACACACATAGGTACACATATGTGGTTGTTGTTCAGTTATGTCCTACTCTTCCCGACCCTATGAACTTTGACCATGGAGTTTTCTTGGCAAAGATAATGGAGTGGCTTGCCATTTCATTCTCCAGTCTGTTCCCATTTTACAGATGAGGAACTGAGACAAATAGGGTCTAAGTGACTTGCCCAGGGTCACACAGCTAGTAAGTTATCTGAGGCCAGATTTGAGCCCAAATCTTCCTGACTCCACACCTGGTGTTCTATCCACTGCACCACCTAGTTGCCAGACAGATAGATAGATAGATAGAGAGAAAGTGAGACAGAAATACAGACATAGATATATATGATATAGACATAGACATGTATAGAGATATGTATATATGTAGATGTGTGTATCTACACATATGTAAATATAGACATAGCTATATAGAGATGTATGTATATGTGCACATTGTACACATATAAATGTGTGCATATACATACATTCACACACACACAGACACACACACACACCTGCTTTAGTCTGTACTCTCAAGCTCTAGGATGCTTGCTGTAAGGCCCAAACACTATCATAGGGTTCAATCTCATTCTGAGTTCCAAAAAGAACTCCCAGGGTGGGAAGACTCCACTAAGACTTGGGTGAGCAAGGCTGGGAGCCCACTTCTTCCCAAGGCTGCAAGGAAACTAAAGAAGGATTGACCCAAACACCCCCAAACTCAAATTCTACCGCCTTTTTTTCTCCACTGAGTGATTTTTTTCCATTCCCTTCCCGTCCTTCATGGAAAGATTCAAATCTTTTCTCCTGTAAGTAAAAATATAATAGCTCTCAAGCTCTTCTAAACATATACCATAAACCACCTCTATACTATAACTCCAAGAAAATAAAATCAGAGTTTAAAAATCCATTATAAAAGAAAACAGATTGTATTCATCTGGCTTGTCTTCTCTGACTATAAATTTTTAGAGGGCAGATAGGAACTGCATCCAGTAAATTCTGTAGGCCCTTTTAAAGTATTAGATGGTGAAGCCAATACAACCCAAACTAATAAGCATGTGTGAAATGCCTACTATGTGCTAGATACTGGGGATACAAAGACAAAACAGTCCCTTCCCCCAAGGCATTATAGCCTACTGGGCAGAGAGGAGATGAGCACTAATATGTAAGGTAAGAGCAGCAGAGGAAATGTTTCTAAGCTCAAATTCCATTGAAGGACCTGAGTCAATGAGCAGTACCAATATTTAGGTATATGTACACCTCAGTTCCCATATTTACTAAATGAAGGAATTTGCAGGATGACTTTTAAGGTCTCCTCCAAGTAGTACAAAGCAGTTAAATGGCACAGCAGATAGAGCTCCAGGCCTGGAATGAGGAAGACTCAGCTTTGTAAGTTCAAATCTCGCCTCAGACACTTACTAGCTGTGTGACCCTGGGTAAGTGATTTAACCTCATTTCCCTCAGTTTCCTTATCTGTAAAATGATCTGAAGAAGGAATTAGCAGACCACTCCAGTATCTTTGCCAAGAAAAAAAAACCCCAAAAGAAGTCATGAAGAGTCAGATATGACTGAATAACAAATAACCAGCTCTAAATTCAATGTCTATGACATATTCCTCAAACTAATTTTATTACTATTCTTACTTGCAAACTCTGGGGACTAGGTCACAAAATAGGGGGTTGTCATTACACAATCAACTCATTTATGGGCTGTTCTTATGAGAGGCATCATGGTCCAATCTCAAGAGCACGGGTTTTGGCATCAGAGGACTTGGGTTTGAATCTTGTCCCTGAAACATAGTTACGTGTCTTTGGGGAAGACGCTTAACCTCTGTGGGCCTTAGTTTCCTCCTCTGTAAAACAGGGAGTTAAACTAAATGGTATCCAAGGTCCTTTCCAGTTCTAAATCTATAAACCTTTAAAGGATCCAGACATGGAAGTCAGTTCTCTGGGAATATTAGAACTGATATAGGGAAACCATCTTTGGCTTCAGACTTCCCTGAATGTCTAAACTCCAATCCAAAGAACCGACCCTCCTGGACTGTTCTGCCTGAGCCTGCTTGGTTCTCTGGGTTCAGAGATCTGCCACACTCAGTCCCTAATCTTCTTTCCTCCTCTTGCCACAGATGCCCTAACTGAATGCCTCATTCTGGCATCCACTCCCTTTCTCCCTTTTCCTCCACTGTTTCCATATAATCATGAAGAGAATCTGTTTTCTAGAATTTATAAGGAAAATGAGATTGTACAAATTCAGAAATAATATGCCTGGGTAAGGTCATTAGAAATATGAATTAAAAGAAAAAACCCACACCCAGTCCCAGACTAGTTGGCTCTTAAATTTGGCTAAGCTATTCAATCCAGTCACAGTTTTCCCCAGGCTTCACTTGGTCCATGATCCTCTCCAGCTCAGAAGGCCCAGGACTATTGTGGATTTTGTGCATTTGGGAAATGTGGATTAAACTCATTCATTAATTTTATAATCCCAGGTTCTATCTCAGCCAATCATGATTGTGCAGCAGATGTTAGGGTATTCTGCCCATATTCCTACCTAATCAGGCAATCAACTTTCCTTCTCTCTGACCAATGAAAAAATTAAAAAAACCATAAGATATAATGCACTCATCACCTCAAAAATCCAGATAATTCAGTCTATCAGACAAGTTACCTCCAAAATTCAGAAAAATCCATGGTCTTATGTATTTCAAGTATATGGAGAGAGATAGTAGGCCATGAAAGACAAATGAAGTTAGAAAAAGAAACTGAAATAAGTCTGCTCCTAGCCCTCTACCCACCAGTGTGCTCTTCCATAAGGCTGTATCTTTTACTTTCCTTCACTCCAGCACTTCCAGATGCCTGAGGGTATCAGAAATTATAGAAGCAAATAATCCTGAATTTGATGGGTAGGAGAGAAATTGACTCAGTCCATCAGGAGAGCCAGGATGGCAGCTATAGCTTGGTGATGATCACACGAGAACAGAATTGTCAACACAGTACACCCTCAAAGTCTCCCTTCTGCCTATTACCTACCTGGTTACCTTATTCATGCAGAACCTGAAGAGACCTCAGAGGCCATCTAACTCAACTCATGCACACATCCAGTTTAAAACACCCTTAACAAATGAAGTTCCAGTGATGAGGACCTCAATACCCTTAAAAACAGTCCATTCCATTTTTGGACAGCTCCGTTTTGTTTTGGGAGGTTCTGGAAGGTTAAATGATTTACCCAGGGTCACACAGCTAGTGTCTGAGGCTAGATTTGAACTCAGGTTCTCCTGACTCCAGGACCAGTGTTCTATCCACTGTACCACCTAGCTGCCCCTAGCTCTGTTAAAAAGTTTTTCTTTATATTGACCAGAAACCTGCCTCTCCATAGCTCCCACCAAGCAAAACAAGACTAATCTCTTTTCCCCAGCATAGCCCTTCGGCTAGTTAAAAACTGCTCTCTTGTCCCCCCCACACCCACCCTTCCATCAACATATGGAATTCCAATTCATACACAGCCTGGTTTCTAGCTTCTCCCCTTCCTGGTTGCCCTCCTGTGTATACACTCCAAGCTGTAGATGTCCTTGCTAAAACGTAGTGCCCAGAATTGAACAGTTCTCCAGATGTCCTCTGAGTGGGATAGACTACAAGGGGACCAGCGCCTTCCTCATCCTGGGTACTGAACTTACTTCTATTAATGCAGCTGAAGATCACATTGGTTTTTTTGGCTGCCACATTACAACTTTTTCACATGAATTTCTAGACACTCACGTCTCCCCCATTCTATATGTGTGCAGTTTATTTTTGCAAGTGCAAGACTTTACATTCGTCCCTATTAAATTTAATCTTCATCACATTACTTTTCCTAGAGAAGTGGGTGAATCTGTCTCTGAAAGAGATAAAAACCCTTGAATGGGTTAAAAGCCCAAGCTAATTGTTACAGAACAACACAGAATCCTAACCTCCAAAGACAGACACATTATTTTCCATGGGGGCAGAACCTGAATTCTTTAAACTTGGGGTCCTGTTGACTTGGCTTTAAAAATATATATTTTGGTAACTGAATTTCAACATAATTGGTTTCCTTCAGAATACTAATACTATGTATTTTATACTGTACATTTAATGCCATTCTGAGAAGGGATCCATAGGCTTCACTAGGTCAATGACACAGAAAAAGTTAAGAAATCCTGAGACAGGAACACTATATCAATCCAGCACTATCTCATCTCTCCTACCCACTAAAGGCAAGTTAAGCTTCTTCTTCTTCTTTTTTTTTAAAAGTATTAAGACTTTCCTTAAGATGTGCTTGGCTTAGGGAGCTCAAGGCTCAGACTGTTGATATCACTTCTTCATGGGAGACCAAGGCAGCCAGAAGGAGCTCCTGGGGCCATCTGATACCTGGCTGGTGGATCATGACAAGGCGTGACACGGCAAGGGAACCTCACTCTGCTGAATCAACTCAAGGCATGCTCAGTGGCTATGCTTGTCAAATGTCCTTCTTCTGCTATGGCTAAATAAATCTCTTTTTGTCAACTACCATCTGACCTACAAGTGTCTCATTTTGACTGGCCTGAGTCGGGTCTAAACCAGAATCTTGTAGATGAGTAAGTTCCTGCTTGAAGCTCAGCTCTTCCTTCTTTCTGGAGATTTCTCATGATTACTACAGTGTACGAAATTGAGAAAGGAGGATGGACTAGCTGATTCCACACTACCACTTTATCTCATTCTGCACCAGTCTCTTCCTAATGCCTCTCATCTATCTGTACACCACAAACAC